AGCTAAGGCTGTCTCACATGATAGACTGTGAATTGAGAGGTGTGGCTAAGTTAGATATTTCTAACACAGGATTCAAATTTAGTTCAAATGTAAGTCTCTGCTTTTAATTTTGATTCAGATTTTTTTTTTGTTATAATTTTGATTAGATTAAAATTAAAATTTATTTTTCAATTAAGAATTATTTATTCAAATTCAAAATTATTTTTTCAAATTCAAAATTATTTTTTCAAATTCAAAATTATTTTTTCAAATTCAAAATTTTATAATGAGTGTGGTATTTGAGCTTCCATACCTCAGTTAAGATGATTTGTTATAATCATTGAATGTTTACTATTTCAGAATGTATGGAAAGCCGTCGGAAATAATCCAAAAAAGGTTATCAAGAGCAGATCAGATTATTTCATACATGTGACAGGAGATGGATCATGTGGAGGTGCAGAACCGGAAAATCCCCTAAAATTGGAAATAGATGTGTCTACAAGTAAGTAAATATAACTAGTGGACCAATATATCCATCTACGCTGGCTGTTGGTAAATGTAATACAACTCACTATGTTTCATGAAAAGATGGCTTGCATGGTTAGGTTATATATGGCCAGCTTTGTTTCAAATAAGAACATGCGACAGAATGGCAACTATACGATAACCAGTGCGAAATATTCAACCAAACAATTCAATGAAAAAGTTTTACTAAATATATGTACTGATTATATTGATTTTCAATAGTGTTCATCCCTAGGTGATAATGACCAATGGCTACTGTATCAATTTAATTCTACTGTGATTCAACTTAGAATCAATGTTTGATTGATGAATTGTTAAAAAGATATAAAGAAAGGTTCACTTTCAATATACTAGAACTAACTATCAAGTTTCCTACCAACAAGTAGATTCAAATTACTGAGTTGATTTCTCTAGATTACCCTGAGTAATTTTCAATATATAATCTAGTAGATTGATATTGCTCCTGAAAATTCTGGTTTGTATTTCAGCTCCTGTTGAAGGTTCAGCTACGCTTCCAGCTTGCACATAAATAAGTTTAAAACCATAAACATTCAAATCAGATAAAACAACTATTAGAAAAACAAATTGGGAAGTCATAGCCAGATGTCAGTTACCAGAAAAGTACTTGTTGGAAGTACTACCAGTACTGGATCTGTATTTCAATATTTGAGAAAATAGCGATGGCCAATGTAATACGCCCACAATTTTAATGACAGCCAAGTCATCAGGGAGGTTGACAAGAGCTATCAGTGTAAAATTATATATTTCGAGAGTAACATTTTAGCACTGCAAGAGCTTTATTCACAGCCTTTTTCTCTTTTTTTTTTTGGATTTTTGATTGGGTTATGGTTATAATAAACAATTCCTTCAAGTTCAGTCTAAATCAGTGAAGAATTTTGTATTCTTAGGTGATAAGAGCTAATGATTGAACAATATTGAAGATGTTTTTAAGAACAAAGGGCAATAACCCATATTACATGTTTTACAATTTTTTGCTGTTTAATAGGGTATATCCTTGGGTGATCCACCAAGTTTCTTTAAAATCTGTCAAGAATTGTGCCTTGAACGAGATTTCTAGAACAAGGGCAATAACTCATATTAAATACTTTTTTGAAATTTTTTGGTAGAATACAACATTGGGAAATAATAAACAATTTCACCACGGTTCGTCAAAATCTGTCTAGAATTGTGCCTTGAACAAGATTTCTAGAACAAGGGCAATAACTCATATTAAATGCTTTTTTTGAAATTTTTTGGTATATATATATAGAATACAACATTGGGAAATAATAAACAATTGCACCACGGTTCGTCAAAATCTGTCAAGAATTGTGCCATGAACGAGATTTCTAGAACAAGGGCAATAACTCATATGAAATGCTTTTTTTGAAATTTTTTGGTATATATATATAGAATACAACATTGGGAAATAATAAACAATTGCACCACGGTTCGTCAAAATCTGTCAAGAATTGTGCCTTCTAAGCATTTCACAAGCTAAAAATTGAAACAGTTTTCAAGAGCAGGGGTATTAACTCATATCAAATGTCATGTCTGATTTTCAATTTGTAAATACAAACATTGTTACAAATTTTATCAAAATCCATCAAAAACCCAGTTCTCTATTGTGTCCACAACACATTTTCAAATAGAAATTGAACGTCTTTCCAGGAACAAGGGCAATAACTCATATCAAATATTTTTCGATTTGTCTGATTTCAATAGAGTTCTATCAATAAGTGACAATAAACATTCACAACAAATTTTATCAAAATCCATCAAGAAACCAGGTCTCTATATTGTCAACAACCAATTTTCAAGAACAAGGGCAATAACTCATTAAATATGTTTTAATTTGTTTGATTTTCAATAGGATTCAGCCTTGAGTGTTTAAAAACATTCACACCAAATTTTGTAAAATCCATCAAGAAACTAGCACTCTATCATGTTCAAAACAATTGACTGACAGACTACTATCAAGAAATCACTTGTCCAAATAATATTGCACGAAAAATGCCTAAGTTTATGGTAACACCACTAGATTAAATTGAATAATGCTGTAGGTAGGCCTATAGTATTAAAGCACATTGTTATCATAAGCAGAAAATTTCAACTTGCTGGATCAAAGGTTAACTCTGAAGGTAACTCTCACTACAATTGATAATTCAAATTGTCATACATTAGTTGAACCTATATTTATGCACATGAGAATTTATTGACAAATTTTGTCAAAATCAAAAAAGTAACATTTTCCTTTTATGTTTTAGATGTTTCTTTAGATATTCAATAAAATAATTAAAATTTATTAATTTTGATTTTTTTTTATAAATCCCTTACTTTGACTAATATGTCATGAGTAACCAACTTGACAACGGCTGCAAAATGCATCCCTTATTGTGTAACATATTTGATCTAGATATCAATGTCAGGAAAAACATTTTCTATGCATCTACCCAGTGGTATCATTATCTTTTCTTAGTATTTATCTTCTACAACAATTCATTATAACTATTGTCTGAACAAAGTAAAAAGTTATTTTTAATTTTTTCCACCTTTTTTA